TTCTTCTTTCTCTTTTCTTCCCTTCAAGCTCTTTTGGTTAGCACTTCTATTGTGCATCTTAATAATTACATTCCTGGCTTCAGGTTGCTTCAGAATTCCAGTGATACTGATTTATTTTTAATGCATCATAAGAAATATTAAATGAGGAAGCATTTTATTGTATGTCTATTTACTCTTTAAGTATTGTATAAAGATTGAACACAGTACCACAAACAGTGAAACTGTGAACGGGTTGCTTTCTTCTGAGCATCTCTTCCACTAAAGGATACTAACTTTATGGTACCTGTTTCAAAAGTCCTGTCAAATTTCTATTCAGCTAACTTAAAACCTAAAATTACAAAAAATTGTAAATTTATTATGACCCTTTCTTTATAAAACGTTGTGAATAAATATTATTTTTAAAGCCTTTACACTCTTACAGCACTGTACATAAAGTTTTGCTTGAATTTACTCTATATAATGGGCAATCATTTGAATCATTGACAGAAAATTATAATTTTCCTTCCTCTTATCCAGTAATCTCAGATTCATGAAAAAAAACCCCACAACATTAATGGTCTGCAGAGCCTCTCACATAGTCACTGTTCGTAAATGCAATTTAACCAATGCAACCAAAGAATTTCAGAATCACTGTATGATATAACTACATTGTCTCACCTCTTTCTGAATATAGAACAGAAACATTTATGTGATTCTATGCAGTGGAGATCAGTAAAACAAATTTGTAAATACTTATCTCGTAAACCTCCATTATTACAGCACAAAATTAACTACGCAAACACTAGAGGAAGTGTAACTAGCATCTAGCAGGAAATTTACTGGCAGGCATTACTCTCTGGACAGAAAGAGTATAAGGCAAACGTAGTCCCACTGCTGTTCTGGATGAGCATAAAGAATAATGCTAGCTAATGAGACAGTGCTGACAACTGCTTCATAAAATAAACAGAATGGGTTTGTGATCTTTATAATGTATAAGAGCAAAACTGAGTTTCCCACTGTACTGGAATTTAAATGGGATTTCTCTTTGCTAACATTCCTTATGAGAACTGACAACTGAAAGTTCTCATGGCTAATCATGATTACATACACACATGCATTTTCAAGTGTGTATTAATTACAGGCAGCTCAGAACAATGCAAGCAGAAGCGTGTCACAATCAGACTGATTTTGCTAATGGAAATGGAGGTCACTGCTGTTACCATTTCACTTCAGAATAAATCCTCAGTGAATCATCTTTCACGTCCAAAGATTCTAGCTCAAAAAAAAAGTTAATTTGGAAACATTTCCTACGAGCCCACCCTCATGAGCTGCAGTCATCTTCATTTTCCCTTGTCCTTCCATCATAATGTTGTGACACTGCATTTGATTACTTTGTCCTGAAAGTCTCATTAAGTCAAAAAGATTATTGCTTTGTCCAGGTAAATTAGCCTGCATGAGAGTCCTTGTCAGCAAAAATCTTTCCAAACGGCATAGATGATGATTATATGAAAAAAAACAGGTATCAGTGGATGAGTAAAGAAAAGAACATACTCAGGGCAGAAAGATGGAGTAATTAGGTGTAAGAACTACCTTTCTAAAGTATTTCACTCATGCAGGATAAAACTAAAGTTTAAAATTCTGTTGTAAGAATAGATATTTTAAACACCACACTTATGAGCACTGCGGGCCTCAAAGAGCCCCCAACAGTCTTTACTGGGAATTAGACTTGGATAAAAATATCCAAGAGCAGCAGCATACCACTTCAGCACAGCTGGTATTGTAAGCAGTGCGTGCCCATTCTCCTCTCCAAGAAATACTGCAGAGTACTTCTCAACTCACATATGCTGCACATACAGCAAACACCTGCATTTTTTTTCTAGAACAGTACACCATATTTTGCTGCTGAGTGTATGACAGAGTAAGAGCCAAAACTATGCCCCATTTTCTTCTAGCTGCATGGGGACATGTCCCTGGGGTGACAAAAACACTGCTAGTAACAAGAATCATCCCCACTATTCTTAAGGGGTCTGTACATGTAGAAGCTTACTGAAGAGATGAAGAGAGGAAAGGCTTCTTTGCAGGAGGGCTTTATGAAACCTAGCCCTAATCAAAAAAAGAAAAAAAATTTAAAGCTAAATAATTGCTTAGCTGAACAAAGCAGAAGATAGAAAATGTGATGCCTTAACCTAACGGTCACAGATTTTTGTGACCATAAAACCACCTAAACGCTGCAGCAAATTGTCACCAGAATGAAACATGGATCATAATGTTGAGACACTGCAAACCGTAATATCCTAAAACCAACTTAACAGTCCAAAGATTCAAATGTCAGAAGTGTTAAAAAAATCCACAATTGGCCTCCTAAAGCTCATCAATACCTTTGCCTCATTTTCTTGTTGGTTTGGGGTTTTTTTTTTGTTAAGCTGCAGAATGAATTTTAAGAGATTCTATTGTCTCAAAATATTAAGTCAGAAAAAGGCTGGAAGGGGAAGAGAGGGGACATGTGATAGTTAACCTACCTCAGAATTGGTTTAATATCAGCTGTTAAAGATATCATGCAATTTCTTTGCCCCCTACTTCCCCCCTACTTCAGAATGGATATTACAATAAATACATAATAAAATAATAGTGTCCCTGTGCCATTACTTTTTCTTGAGTGATCCAATGCAAAACAAACCCAAAACCAAAACAAAGCAAAAATCCCCCCTTTTTCCCCTATGAATTTATTTGACTGCAGCAGAAGTCATACTGGGCAAGATAAAACAAAACAAAAAACAAACAACAACAACAAAGAAAACCCCAAATCAATATCTAAACACATTTTAATCCCTTAAAATAAAAGCCTAAACATGGGTCCACTTAAGGGGAGATAAATTCTGTCTTTAAGAGTTTGAAATTAACCCCAAATAGGATCTTCTAATAAAGCAATATCCACTCCTGACAGACAATTAAAGACAAAGATAGCAATGACTCAGAAGCGTATACACACGTCTGCCGACATTACCTGTTAGTAGACACAACTCTGGCAGAGTTGCTACGGATGGAGTTCATTTGACTTCGCTTTTGGCAGGTAACACTCAGGACCCACCCTAAGCCAGCTCTGTCACCCCGCAGTCAGTCGAGAGACACAAGAGCATCTGGAAGGCGATTTATTTCATCCTAGCTGAATGTCTAAGACAGCCAGGATCAATTTTCTTACGAAATACCTTTCTCTCTCCACTGATTACAAGCTTACATTTTATTATGGCATCAGCCACTACAGAGGTGAGAACTTCAAGAGACAGCCCTCCACTCTGACCTGGACTACTGACACTGCAAACAACAGTCTGTTAGAGGCTGGAGTAATTCTAATTATTCGTTCTCGGCAATGGAATGAATGCACAGTCTTACCTGTGTAAGACTACATCTAAATATGAGTCTGTTGATTCAGGGAAGATCATGTGTGCATCTAAACACATGCCTGTGTGCCCTGGTTGCTTAGACTAAGATGCTGAAAATTGGGCAGGGTATAGACTTCATTCTGAAAACATACGCCTGTGTCTCACAGTACAATCACTTCATGTGATACTGTCTTAATCTCCACAGCAGTCTAGTTACATTAGATCAGCAGTACAGCTGAGCAAAAAACCTCCACACCTCGGCAGCTCCGACTCCCAACCAAGCACTACGCAGCCAGCCAGCGTGTGTTTTCAGGGCTGCCTTTCTGCAGCATGCTCCAGTGCCCGCAGCTCTGACATGTCTCATCTCCAGCTCTCGTGGCCACTGTCTCAAGCCTCAGCTAACCACCCTTTAACAACTCATCAAAATCAGTACATCAGTCCCAATGTTTTAGCTTTTGAAGGAACTTAAATTCACTGAAGGTTAATGCTAATCTTTGTATTTCCTTCCATTCACCTAAGGAAGCAACAAACCTTCTGAGTTACCACAAGTCTCCGAAATTCTACCACCACTGTGGTGGATGAACACATTTCTTCCGGGACTTGTATTTGCTGGCAGTTAGGAAGTGTTCAGAACTGAAGTATTTTCTACGACTGGAAACAGAGGTGGCTACAGCTAATGTGTTAATCAGAAAGTAGATATCTGTCTGAGGAAAATGCCATCTGCCTGAAAGCCTGACCGACTGGCATGAGCTGTGGGGAGCGGTAGCCTATCAAGCTTTACAGAGGTAAGGAAAGTTTCTGGCAACGGAGAGATGGCAGAAGGTATGATAAGAGAAATGTAATTGATGTTCACAGCGTTATCCAAACAGAGGCTCCTTTATCTAAGAAAAGGTGCTAAGAAAGGAAGAAAGGTGTACTTTCAAAAAGAATATTAAAGCTTATGGAACTCATCTGACAGGAGTCTGGTAAACGGTACTAAAATCACCTGCAAGATGGACAGCAGAGTGTTTTGGGCTTTTTGGCGTTATTTTGGTTTGGTTTTTGCAGTGTTTTTTTTGCTTTTTTATGGAGTCTTTTCCTGTATGCATGTTGTTCAAGTACACCATAACTGAACACCTCAGTGCAAAGCACACTCAGAGACACCTTGTGGTTTTTACAGAGATCAGAAAACACATATTAACCCTCTAGGAATGTGCATCAGTTGGGATTAGGAGATAGCAGCATCACACCAGTAAACCAAAGCATGTCAATCTGCACTGCTGCACTATCTCACTAAACTGAAAGATAAAACAGTGAAGAGAATGATTCAGTATCTGGCTCATATATCCCAACAGGAAGGTTTGTTTAATCCTGTGCCAACAGGCTGGTAATTAAGAAAATGGTAAACTTTGTTGTAGTCTAATAAAAAAAAAAAAAAAAAGCAATCCACACTCATTCACTCACACAATTTTATCTGCAATTTTTCAGCATCAACAGACATAAAAAATTCTGGCAGCTTGGTATCAATATCAGCGACAGTCATGCTTGTCAACCCTCATTACTTCAATTATTGTTATATATATGTATATACAAAATTCAGTCAAAAGACAATCAACCCATGTGGGAAGCTTCTCTTAAGTGTAAGATACTTAGTTTTCTTACTTTACCACAATATTTCCTAAAGTCTGGGCCTTCACTGGTTCCTTATTTTCATCCAGAATCATCACTGCAAAAAAGTAATATAGGAAGAGAACTGTGAAGTAGTGTATTTGTAGGTGGAGGACAGTGTCTTTCTTCATGGATATCAACTTATTTCCAGATACACCAAGCAACAAAAGGAATTAAGTGATTTGGGAGTTCCAAACTGGATAATCTCATGACCTTATTAACATTCAGCCTTAAGCACAAAAAGTCTTAAACAATGCTCTTGCTATGGGAGCAAAAATAGCTCAAAGTCAAAAAGGGGAAAATACAGAACTGAAAATTAAAAGACACCTTCATACTGGAAAATCTAAGCTTCCAAATAGCAAAGCACCCTTCAGATACATGACAAATACAAGAAAAAGTGTGCAGGTAATATGAGTAAGAAATAACAACTAAGGTTACTGGAGGCTAACCAGATTAATGTGAGAAATACTACTAGCAGTAAATACATGTGTCTGGTTTTCAAAGGCTCTCAGGAGACCCAGAAAGATGCTCCCCAGCTGACAAGGCTCATTCTAGTCTAGCACAAAGAGGTAAAGGAACTCATGCACTACCCAAAGCCACGCAGCAGGGTAATGCTAGGGTACAGTGAAGAATCCAGACCTCCAGCAGAAGCCTCTTCCCTGGGTGACACTGGCCCATCACCTTCAGTGAAAGCATCACGTACTGGTACTGAGGTTTCTGAGGAAAAACACCTGAAATAGCCTCTTCCGTGCAGTCATCTGCTACAGCCACCCAGCCCATCTGAAGGTGTGGGCACAAGGAAGGAATGACAGATATCAGCTTGGCCTGCGATAACTGGAGTGAAACAAAGTAAAATGACTAAACCATGGAAAAGCAGGGAGGAAAGGTTTTGAGAGACTGGGCTGACACGGATTTAAAAACAGACTTTTTGAAGCCTGCCCAAGCAAAGAAAGCAATGTTCAGCTGGATCTAAATTAGTACAAATAATCTTACATTCCGTACAAAAAAGTTCCAGAGGAAATGGGGAAAAGAGGATGAGAGACTTCTGAGTAAAACCCTGCTAAGACTCTTATGAGTAATATCATATCCTATCTGTCCAAAGAATGCCAACATCTGTGACTTACTATTTCTGGCTGAAGTCACCCCTTCAAAGAGGATGGTAACTTTCGAGTAATTGAAGAGCCTGCTGGAAGCAATAGCTCAGCACACAGACACAAGCAAGTCCACAAGGCCAGTTTTACAAATCAGTGACTTGGAAGGAGTATCTGGGATAGGAAATCAAAAGGATGAATGGAAACACAGAAGACGCTTATGGCAAACGGCAAGAATGGCATAAATAAAACTCATTTATAATCTGTAAACACATTTTTTTTCTTATATAATTTTAGATGATGTAAGAACATGTGTAAGAACATAGTATCATTAGATTTGAAGAACTTTTATTTTTTCTATTTTTATTATAAGGAAGTAAAATCTAATCAGATTTTACTGTAACTGTTTTCTCAAGGTAGCAATTCTAGCATTTATTACCCTCCTTGCAAGCAGTGTATTTCAATGTCTGAGAAAGGGAGATACTACACTGCTCACTCCTGAATTACTGAAGAACTGAATTCTTCAAAATGTGGGACTTGCTTCAGTTTGAAAACAATGCAATAAAATTATCTGGAAAGGGTTCAAGTAGATCAAAGGGAAAGCACAGTATAAGGTCTGATTTAAGGTAACGGAGCTAGAAATTTATCTGGTATCGTGACTTACTTTTAAATGCAATTTGTGCCAGTGCACTTTGATATTATAGCTAAATACTGCTTTTATTCTTCATATTCTAAAAAATCAGGAACGAATTTGGTTGTGTTTAAAAAAAATGTAGATTTTGTAACTTTCTATTTATATTGCAGCTTAAATAAAATGTAACTTTAGCAATGTCCAAAACTATTAACAGTTGTATGCATAATCTAAAAGCACAGAATCTAGCTGCTAAATGGCATAAGGATTTCTTCTAATTAATACAGTAACAGCAGCAAAACAACATCAAAATAGAAGTGGGTGACAGCAAGACAGCTGCCAGTACAGAGTAATTTCAAGATCCACTATTTTATGAATCGCTGCATTGCATTACAGGACATAATTGGCCTCAAACCAAAGACTGAAAGAGGTTCAGAAAGTTCTTTCACAAATCTGGAGTGAATTTTAGTGCTCATTTATGTTTCCCTTTTAAGGCATGCCAAAGACATTTCCTTCATTCTATTTGAAGAAATTCTTTAACTACACTAGGCCCAATGTTCTGAACAATTCATAGGAAACTTTTGCATTCTTTCCACTGTTACTGTTTTCTAGGTCTGACTATCATTTGATAGCATATCTTATGCAATTACATTCTTCCACTCTTCCCTATTTATTACAACTCTGGACAAACTTCATGGCTTTGTTTTAATGCTGTTTTTAAGCTATTGCTTGGCTTCATGTCACAACTGTAAATGCCAAAACCTAGAGATACTGAAAATGTTTTTCTTTAATACTCACTTCCACTTACATGAATTCGAAGAAAAAACAGCTTAGCTCTTTCTGCCCAGTGATGTGAGAACTTTTCCTGAATGTGGTTTGATCTTTAATGTAATTATTTTTTGGACTTCAAGTAATTCTTGAAAACTGTGTTACAATCAGGGTTCCCAGGTATGAAAATATTTTTGCATTCTTAATCCTACGGCTGTACCCTCTGCATGCAAACATCTTCCAGACAATGAGTGCTCATTCTTTTAATGTTGGTCCATAGCCTACCATTTCTCCCAGCCCAAAATAAAAACGCTCCACAAGTACTGAAAGATAATGTGCTTAACAACTCTCTGAAATACAAGCCCATATATCTGCACAAAAAGGCAGAAAACTGAATGGTTTTCTTAAAAAAAGTATGAGATGACTTCAACTACAAGATTTATATCCTTGCAAAGCTGCTTCTTAGCTCACTATGACGTATTTGTGGAAGACACAGACCTCAGGAAGAATTTTCTTTATGTACTTCAGAATACTTCACATAAAATTGTAGGGTCAAACAAAAATCTAGTCAATCTAATCAATGTGTCTCTGAGACATAATTACTTAATGTACATCTCCCAAACTATTTAGGCTCTGAAAATTGAAAACACAGGTATAACAGAACACTCAAAAGTGCAAGTTTTAGCGTTTATTTGTCTGGGTATCATTTCATCTTTTGCTGATGATTATTACTAACATTTTTCTTCCTGGTTTGCCAATACAAATTTTAGTGCTGCTCTCATTTAAAACAGTGTAACTGTAGATAAGGCCTTAAAGCACAGTAAGTTTTTCATATCTTTGTCATATCCAGCATAGAAGTATGTGCTATCCCTTTCTTATAATAAAGGTAGGAGTAGTTGATCAATTTTCTTGAACATAACTCAGAATTTCTTATTCACAATCACATTCTGCAACACACCAAAAGGCAGAGCTTTCTGTTACAGGAAGAAGGAAAGTGTTAATAAGACTGTAATTTGTTTTTCCCATGAGGCACAAAAATTAAAGAGCTTTTCCTCGGGAATATAAGCAATATCCTTTTCTAGCAGCATGTTTAGCACAGTCTTACCATTGTACCCTGGCACTGGTTTTCCTGCCTGTCCGGGTGGAGGTGCTGTAGAGTTCCCCAGACCAACACAGGAAGCAGTAATTGCAGAACCAGATTCTGTTAAGAGAACACAAATATTGCCAGTTGAGATTGTTCTTAGTGCCATCAAGTTGCTTCTAGTTCAGCACATGAAAATAATAAAATAAAACAAAAATCCCAGACAAGCAATGGAGCATTTAGAATTCAGGAGCTTTTATGTATTATCTAATAAATGTAAGTTCATTACAGAAACTGGTGTACTTCAAAAGGGAACTTTTTCCATTCCACAGAAGTCAGAAATAAACACTTTCTGCATTACACCTGTAGTTTCTTCTGCAATGGATATCAGGTTATACCACGCCAGTAAGAAACTGCCTACAGCAAAGCCTTGATAGAAATACTGTGTAGTGCAGATATACTTCAAAGGTAATACATGAGTCAATATTCTTGGGAAGAAATAATGAAGTCAGGAATACCTCTTTAATAATCCTGGAGATCTCACTAGTATTTCTTGGTGAGAACTATTTCAGATAACAAAAAGGCTCAAAAAGAAACAGGGTAGAAAAGTCCGATCTAAATTTTCAGTGTTGCCAAAACCAACTGAAAAGGAACACTCTAAGGAATGAGAATTGAACTGCTGCAAGATTTTGTGTTCATAATCCAGATGTTTTCTCTTTTCTCCTCTCACACCTACAAACCTTAAAGTTCTACTAACCACAGCATTTTGGAGTGGGTTTCTTTTGTGGGGGCAGGGGAGATGTGAGAAAACAAATGTCTCTTGGTTTCTGAATCTTAGGAAGACATTCATTCATCTAACTGCCAACAGACAAATTAAACACTGGTCCTGCGTGCCTTTGCTCCCTGCATGGAGCCCATGGAAGGCAGGTCTGGAATCCCCTCTGAAGCACCAATGTAAAATACCTTGTTCAGAGCTTCCAAATGAGACAGCACGAATATCCCCTTATTCTAAATGAGAATGACAAGTCATAAAATTTTCTGAGTAGGTCTTTATAATTGCTGCTATTTCTTGTATTGTCTTCTCAATTATCAGTGGATGTATCATTTTCATATTTACTCAGTGCTCTAATCTCTAAGCCGCACATTCAGTTCCCACGGGTCAATAAGACTTTTTACACACAGAGAAAATAATACGGTTTTTTGATGCTTGGACCAGATATTAATTCAGAAAGGGAATCCCAAAAGCATCTGCTCTTTGTGTTAGGTTAACAGTTCCCGAATGCTGAATGTTCTTGTAAAGCATAGAAGCACAAAGGAGTACTGTCAAAGGATAGCAGGAGTCTTTGTGCTGTACACTTCTTGGGAAATCAATGCATGTCTTCCAAACAGGATAGTGGATTTAAATATCGATTTCCCAAATCTATCAGAAAACTGCTACCCCTTCTTAGGACAGCGTTTTTTATCACAGAAAAACAGTCTGACATGGAAGTGGAATTAAATTCAAAAGCCGGCTGAAAAGAAGTCATCACTGTTCAAAGTAATACAGAAAAATAAGTAGTGATGAGAAATTTTCCTTACCAATTATGTGTAATACAAGTACTGTGTGGCCCTTTTATATATTTCCAATAAGTAAAGTTGCTTAAGAACCTTTGGTTTCAACTAAGGTTGGTTTCTTTACAATTCAAGTCAGGACCTATATGCAGGTTACAAGACCCAGGTCTGAAAGTTAGAACAGCAACAGTCTGAAGGATAACACTTGTCGAATGGACCTTATATTCCATCTACCCCTTACATCAGGTTTCTGAATGTACAAACAGACAGCCCTTACCTGACACTCACTTGTTTATAGTTGCAGATTCTCTGAAATTAATACACAGCATCTAGACAGATTCCCAATGGTGAAGCCCATAGGAACTTGCACATTTTCAACGTTTAAGGAACAGAACAGTAGAACTGTCTTCCAGTCAGTCCCTTCTGCAAACTTTAAGGTGCCAACCTTCCACTCACTACAATAGCGAGTTAGCTCACCTTCCACCCACGGAAGGCTTTTCAGGGACAACAGGATCATAAAACCAATTTCCTTTTTGTATAACATCTTATAACATGACAATGAAACAGCTATTTAGGAGAGCAATGTTTTACACTGGAAGAGCAGTGCTCCATAACTAGTCTGATAACTACACCCAACATCTGCTCTGAATTACAATGGAATGAATATATGTACATCTGAGAATAATGAAAAGCACTTCACTGAGACTTGGAAGAGAGAGTTAGTGAGAGATCGTCTTAATATCATAGCTGTTAAAGTGTCCCAAGTTCCTCCTTCTGTTTTTACTTTCAGGATACGGACTGATGTAAAGAAATAGCCCTTGAAATTCAAAGATGTGACCTCCTTTGTTTTGTCCTACTCTACATGTAAGTGAAAAATATTATTTTAAAGATATTTCAATATTATTTTGGTATATTGGGCAGTTAATGAATAGTCCAATACAGGCGTTTTTGTTGCATTGCGTCTCTGAAAGCAATTCTTATGTCAGAGAAGGTGCTGCTGATGCAGAAGCAAAAAGTGCCCTCTCTTATGATTAGCAAGGGGAGTCTGTAAGGGCACGCCTGACATCAGAAAGCCTCCACCTGCCCGTGTGCCTGACTTGCAGAAGCTGTGCTCTGCCAGACAACACAGAGCAACAGCTAGTAAGTTCTGTGCTCAAAGCTGTCTTGCTCATTCACACTCAACAGTCCAGTTCGATAAAAATAAACAGTTTTGAAATAACTCCGGACTTTAAAAATGAAAAATGCCCTGTACTACTTACATTCCTGATACACCATAATTACTAGACCGTGTCTCATGTTCCTCAACATAACAGACTGTCACACTGCTGAAATATTGTATTTTCTGGTAGGAAGTACTTAGGGAAAATGCACTGCATTCTGACATTAGTATTTGAGTTTGGGCTGCACTAAGTGACTAATGTAAGGCTGTCTGCTTTGAATTTCTTGGGATGCAATGGATAGACACTGGAAGCACGCAAAAGAGGTGGGAAGTTGTTATGTAGCAGGAGAAAAAAGAGAAGAAAAAGAGCAATTGTCATACATTAACATGTTAATGAACACAATAAATATAATACACTAAATTCTCACTGTGGCCATGCTGTTTTGAGCCATTTTCCTGGAAAATCTGTCATTTTGGCTGAAGGGAGTTAAAGTAATTACTACAGCAGAAGACAGCAATGACAAAATGGAGAGGAGGGTCTGTGGAAGGGAGAAAGCTTAGGCAGCAACTGATAAAAAAATCCATCCACAGAGTAAGAATGCAGCTCTGAAGTGACTCCTTGCACATGTTCCCTCCACAAAGTGGTCATTGTATTTATGCCAGAAAGGGCGGAATGAAGAATTCAATAAAAAGTAATAGCAACATGTTTTCTAGTACAGCAACAACAACTGGGCATCCAGGAACAGAAAACCACAACACTCAAAATGTGCATCACAGCATATCCTACTGCTTCCTCATAATAAAACCAAACCTGACACATCACAAAAATAATATATGCTGGGAGGGTCCTGAAGATTCAGGGGCCAGATCACCAAGAATTCATACAGACCTCATTCCCTCATCCTGCAGCATATGACTGCACAGGGCAAAGTCAGTTTTCCAGCCAGTTCTTCATCACTAGAACTCAATCGAGTTTCTAAGTCTCTGACTGCCCTAGCAGCAGGTGGCCTCACTCACAACTTGTGATTTAGCACTGTTAACCCCAACAAATTCTGTCTAGATAGCCATGCTGCAGGCTGGTAGCCCAAGCACCACTTTAGTCTTACACTTACTGGCCCTCGTACAGTACAGCTCAGCCATGCCTTCAGCAAGGACTCAAAAATATCTACTGCATAATTTTGCCATGAAGTTTTCTTCACCCGGTGCGTAAGACATGATATAGTATTAATGTGTAGAAAGACCAAGTACACCTGGCTAGTCCTGGGTATTTAACTACAAACAGTCTGATGATAATTATACCTAAACACTAAAACAAGGCAATGACACCTGGCCACTATCACCCCAGGGCACTAAAGGGCACAGAGGAGAACAGGTAGGATAATCCCAAAGCAATGTGATGTGTGATGCTGGGCTGCCAGCTGGCCGACTGCCACAAAAGTCCACAGTACAGATGCACTTGCATTGTTAACATATGTTGATATGCCATGCTTTTTACCGTCTTCTAGGGGTAAAGGCTAGTGAAAATTAATTTTCAGATCTAGGATAATTTTATCATTAACTTCCCCATCCATTTTACTCATTTCCTCTTCATTTTGCTAAAGCCTGTCATCAAATGAAGCAAAATGTAATGACAGTGCCTGCATTTACTGAAATGCTCATCTTCTAATATATTTAGCCGGGTACCGCAGCAACTTATAACAGAAAAGTGAGATGAGCCACAAGGAGACAACAATGACTGAAGAATCTGGAGAAATTCTGTAAATTCTTAAGGATTCCCTGATTCAGTTTTACCAACTGTCAGAAAGAGAGTGTGAAATTAAATCCAATTCACACATTATGCACAATTAGGTTAGATTAAAGACAATCTGTCATCCTAAAATGGGAAAGGCTTTGCTGGTTAGTAGTGCAACTTCAAAAACTCTTTCATGCATCATTTGGTATCTCATTTCACCCCTTATTTCTGACAAGTATGACAGATGCAGCAGAAAAAATCCTGAACAGTGATGGTAATTATCATTTATTTTTCCTCCATCTGACTGCATTTTTAACTTCTTCCTCTTGTGAATTAAGCACATGCAGCATCAACACAATAAATACCAGGTGCATACAGAATGCCAAAATATGGTAAGCAGGGGTCTATCTTAGCAAAAGCCACAAGAAGTATTAAATTTTAGGTGAGGTATGCAAGTTGAGTGATTTGTAATCAAGATTTTCATACTTGTCTTACAAGGAGTTTTTCAACTCCTTACAAACTTAAGTAAAGCTAGGATAAAGAATATGCAATAAACCAACTGCAAAGAATTTCAGCTAAGACTTTCTTGCTTGACTATTATTTAGAGAGACTATCGTATCTAAAGCATGACCTTGTCCATCAAGCTGCTTACAATTTAGATTACATTCTTTTGGTAGA